TGTTGAGGTCTCGACCCCTTAAACTGGCAGTCCAAGTGGGAAGGCGAGCTATGCACTAAGCGTAGGGTGCCGAGGGCCAGGGGTCGAGCCATACTAAGGCCCCGACCCATCAATTAGTTCGACCCACGTAAGTCAAAGAGTTGACCGATGAGTGAACGCTATATAAAGGGTAAACCGGGAGAAAAATAGGTAAGACTTCATTAATATCATTACTACAACATTTATTACAGACAATTCTCTCTAAAAATCCGAGATCCTAACTTGGGCGTCGGAGGGTTTGCGCCCGAGAAATTCCGGCGCGCTTTCAGGTATCGGAGAACACGCAAGCTTGGGCCGGACCGAATCAAGCGAATCACGCCATAACCGGGAAGAACCTTCCGTAAGACCGGAGCCACCGATCTCGGACCATATCAGAGGATATAAATTAGTTGCTTCTGTTGATTAAAGTGACCATAAAATAAAATAAAAAAAAAAAGTCTCTAAAGCCCCATCATTAAGCTTGCATCACTTGTTAACAGATGTGGAGGATCTTTGATTGGGTCCCCCTAATTTCTTGCTTATACGCATCATCAAAAGCAAAGACATACATGACAATATGTTTAACCATCCAAAATATTAATTCCACCACTACATTATCCCATACCTTATGCATAGCATGGCTCTCTTCCAAGTATAAACTTCAACCCTAAGGCCTCCATCAAATAATAGTACAATACCTCTGTTTGGTTGATGAGAGGTGATTTAGATCCATGGAATACGTAACCTTATCACTAATAACCAAGAAAAAGTAAAAAATTGTAAACATCCATTGCCAAAAATGGCGTTGTTCCAGTCAAAATATAGCTCTGAAAACTAAAAGATACGAACAAGCAAACACTTTGAAATACGCAACACTACATCACACTCACATACATTCTTCCAAAATCCATCCCTCAACTAGGTGATATTCATAAAATCACTACAAACTTTGGAGAAAATAACTCCTGTTCTTACATACCGTTGTTAAATAATTTGCAGAGTTGGTGTTATACTTTCTTACTCTCATCAAGGAAATCCTCCTCTTCATCTCCACTGCTATCCCCAAACATTGCAGCCATCTTCATTGCCAGCTTTGCAGCCATCTCCCTCCTCTGGAAATCGGGCATCAATCTCAGGCCATTTCGCATGTTACCAATCTCAGCCATCAGCTTCTCCAAATCCTCAAAATCATAAGATTTATTCTCTTCATCTACCTCTGACGTTATTTCAGCTTCCTGGGCCAGACTTGCTTTTTCTTGGTCAATCTCTTCTGCCAATTTGGAAGGGGATGTGGATGAGTGGTTTTCTTCTCCAGCTGATTTAACTTCACTCTCTCTTTCTAAGTTTATATTAGTTCCTGAGGCGGAAGCAAAACCATCTGCAGAAATCCATCTCACGTCGTCCCATGGTTCTGCTGAACCAGAGGATAATTTCTCATACTCATGTTCATAATCATCGGATTCTTCTTCTGACAAATCTGTTTAAAAGTGAACAAGCATTCACAAGTTTGATAGGTCGAGTAACATGACATATAGAAACAACTTCAACATATAAAAAACCCTATAAAATTGGCATGTCAACCTTCTTGGTCGGGTAGTGAAGGTTCATTTATTATATCACCAGATTTTAACAACATTCCAGGCCACATATGAGCTGACAACGCCCCATAAAGTCTCTCTACACCCTGTGAATCCCCTTCTACAGAGAGGCCTGTAATAAAATGATTCGGTTTCATGTTAAAAAAAGAAGGAAAAAGAAAAATTGCACAGTAATTAAAAACCTACTTACAGTAGAAGTCAAGCAATACGCATTTTAAGGCAGACATTATCCAGGTGCGATTAAAATTTTAGCTTTTTTTTTTTTTTTTTTCCTTAGAAGCACTTTGCTACTTTTTAATGCTAGTAGTAATAAACTACGCCTACAAAATATGTTAGGTTCATCATATGAAGCAAAAAAAATTATAGGCCCCTACATTTGTCAAAATCAGCATTGGATGCGCAAGCCTCAACATATTCGATATTATGGTCAAGACACCATTCTAAGCAAGACCTCTTAAGTTCCAAATTTGTCTCTTCTACTCCCAACAGACTACTTCCTTCAGTTTCGGATATCCCATACTCAGTAAACCCCAGAAAAGGATCATTAGATGATTCTTCTTGCCTCATGAAGCGCCTCTTGTATTCCATATGAGCTGGATGATCGGGAACAAGGTCCACCTTGTTACCGATGCATAGCAGTATATCAAACCTCTGGATGTCCGTGCAGCCCACCCACTCTTTAAGAGCAGCAAGAGATGAGAGCTGCAAACGACAATGTTGAATGAGGTAACACTAGGCAACATATGAAAGATAGATTTTCATATGAAGGGAATAAGGCTTACATCGGTAAGGTCAAAAACCATCACCAAGGCAACTGCTCGATCGACAATTGGAGAGCTCACAACAGATAACGTGTCGCTAAGACGAGCCATCCATACCGAAACATCTGCTGAATAATACTTTGTGTTGATTGTCCATCTTATGAAGCAACCAAATAAAGATTATTACTCAAAATGTTATAACCCATAAAAGGATAGAAAAGCAGATTATTATCAGGGAATCAATGTTTTTCTCTAAGAAGTTAATACTTACGCATGGAGAGATAACTCAGGCAACGGATCAGGAGCATCTTCAAAATCTATACTAAGTAACCCTGCACCCAACATAAGCATACGGCAGTTGAACATTACAGTTCAAACCATGGAAGTAATTCATGCTACCATAATAATAATGCATTCAAACTTCCAGAAAAAAAGTGCATAAGAATTGACCCACAGTCTTTCCCTGCCATTGAACCAGGGACATGAGAAGGCAACTGAAGCAGCAAGAATGCTAGGTACTATATATCTTAACTAAAGGGTATTCACCAAACAATTTCTCAAAGGAGCAATATGATATTAACTATTGGACCAGTCTACGGCAGATCAGAAAACCAAAATTCCACCAAACCTAAACCTCTGGTGCCTACATTATTTCATGAAGAAGGTATAACCAACAATCAAACTTTATATTCGCCAAGTAATCCGTAGAAAATGCTCTTTCACAGCTTCACATCAATATTCCGAGATTCATACTGCTATCATTTTCAAATCTTCAAGGTCAGTAGTTTTCCTACATCAATGAGCTCAACATAGTAAAAACTAAACTGAACTAAAAGTTCAACTGATGCCCACACATTTTGCCGACACGATTCACCTCCGGAAGTATCCAAAAGATATTTCAGAAAATCTGTACAGTAACGCCACAGTAAACATAATTCTCTGTAGCTTAGGAGCATCATTTGCTGTAGCTCCAACATGCATATACCGAGTAAAATTTCACAAATGAATGATCGAGATGAGAGAGAAAGAGAGTACTTGAAAGTAGGGTTCGTTTGCCAACGTTGGGCGACCCAACTACGAGGATTGCGGGTCTTCTCTCCAGCAACTGTCGATCCATTTTCACCTTTTTTTCGCAGCTCCAATAGCTTTTTTTTCTCGGTCTTGATGATATTTTGATATGAAATGAAAGGGGTTTAAAGCGAGACCCGAATTACTCACCGAAAGGCTCTGTTAAGCAAATTACCGGCTGGGAAAGTCCTATCTTGACCTACAAAAATCTATGGAATCTTATGGAATAATACACCACTTAATGTATTGATACATGTCCAAATTGTATTTATTGTATGACACGTATCCAGGGACGGATCAAGAAATTAAGAATAGACTGGGCTAGAATTTTAAATACTCATTTTTCATTAAAAAAAAAAATACATAAGAAATGAACTCACACCAAATATGATCAACCGTTCTATACTCATGATCAACCTTTAAAACATGAAAGCGCATCAACGTGGCTCTAAGTATTATTAAATCTTCATCTTAAGTTCAAACATTCTATTCAGAACTAATATTCACTTCCTCAATAATTTCTACATTCACTTCAAAAATGAAAATAAAATAAAATGGCGAAAGAAATGAAACTCAAACAAACATCATAAAATATACTAAAAAATAACATTGGTAGACACCATATCTTTGATAAATAGATCTGTCTACAAATGATGTTGGCATATTGCTACATATTAGGATAAAAGCTGAAACAGAAGTGATATTACTAGACATATTTAGACAAAACTGAAACAATAACATGATAATTAAAAAAAAAAAAACATACTATGGTTCATAAATTGATCAAATGTAGGAGCATCTGAGTATACAAACTAAACAAATTTGAAGCATATGCTAGATCTCAAAACCCAATTGCTCAAAATCCAGAAAAAAAAAAAATAAATTAAAAATCACAGAGACAGTAATATTTTGAATGCTTCAGGCTTCAAATTTCTCGTTTCTTTTCAAGAACAAGCACTCAATCATGGATGTTTCACAAAATAATTAAACCTCATATGATATTTTCTCCCTTCGCAATACGTAATAGAGCCATCTAGGGTTTGTAAAGTAATTAAATATAATTTTTTTCTGTACCTTTTAAATCGAATGGCCGAGTGGAAGTGATAGCTGGTCGACTAGTTAGACGACAGAATTCGGCAGCCGGTGAGTGAAAGCAGTCCGCACTCTGCAAAGATTGTAGAAATTGCAACAATGGAGACTGAAGAGGGAATTGTGAGAAGAAGGGAACAAATTTCTTACGAACCAGCAGGCTTAGGAGAATTTAAGAAGTTAGGTTATATATTTTTGGGCTTTGTTGTTTATTTGTTTTTATTGGGGTGGGCTATATTTCCAAAAAAAAAAAGAATTAATATCGTTAAAAAAAAAAACAAACAGGCATGGGCTTCAACCCAGTCCAAACCTAATGTACCTCCGTGCACGTACCAATATATTAGGGAAATTTGCACACATGCAGTGGTGTTTTACACTTATTTGCATATATACATGATTGAAAACTTAATTTCACTTATACCTAATTTAAACAAATTATTTATATCAATATAATATTATGAGAAAACGGAACAAGTATTACTTACCATAACAACATTCCCATAACCGACGGGATATATGACGGGATACATGATTAAATAAACAAAAAAATGTATTTCATGGCAATCAATATATACAATCACGAAATGGGGGGAGTTTCTTAAAAAAATCTACAAAATTTAAACAAGTCTTGTCAAATGTCGTCAATGTCCCGATCTGCCGCTGGCTGGAAATTACGAGAAACTCGAGTGTATATTTTATGTATCTTTTATGTATATGTGTGTCCCGATCTGTCCTAGCATGATTTACGAGAAACTCGAGTGTATATTTTGTGTATCTTTTATGTATATGTGTGTCCCGACCTACCGCCGGCTTGAATACGAGAAACGCGAGTGTATATTTTATGTATCTTTTATGTATATGTACAACTAAGAACACATTTACATATGTTTTACATATCGAATATATACGTGGTCATGTTTATTGACGTTCAGTTGCAAAGGTATGTTCCAAATTCATAAGTATATTTGTTGTTGATATCCCGTATATATTTGTGTTTACGTTGGTGTCTGAGCAAACCAATCCATTAATATCAAATTTGGATCAATCAAATTTCGAACTTAAAGATGTAGACATTTATTATTATTATCTACTAAAGTGTGAAACATATATACATATTGTAAACCCTTCACAATGCATAAAAAAAAATGTTCAACAAAAAAATATGAACTTATTGGAAATATAAACATATCATATACTAAACATATATTGCATGTACACTGTCGATTGTTCTTACGCGAATATATGCCGAAAAAATATATTGTATATATACGTAACATATCCTACAACATAATATATGAAAAGAAAAAAAAAATCTCAAAAAAGCATCATCATTCATTAATTATCAAAACTTCATTTTTCAACAATAAATGAGAAGATTGATCTCCAGTAAATCGCCATGTGGAAATTGATGATGGGCTTGATTGAAATTGAGCATGAAATCCTTGAAATCTGAGGAGCTGAAATCGGGATCAATTTGTTGTTGCGGTTATCCGGTGGGAGGCAATGAGGAATGCATCCGAACCCGCCGGTCGCCGCCGCTGGACGGACCCCTGATCTTTTGAGGTCCAATAACAGCGCCGCTCCAAGGTCCTGTCACCGTCAGTTGCAAGGTCGTTCTCAACTGAAGCTGCCGAACTCCGGACCTTTCCATGAAGCCTGTAAATTGGGATGAAGGAGAGATCTGAAGAAAAAAAAACGGGGAAGAAATCAGTGGAATAACACAAAATTGAAAGGTTGAGAAAAAGAAAGATGTATTTGATTGGAAGTCAAAATTTGGATTTCATAAATTAAGAGCAGATGAATCAATTTTCTGAGAGAGAGAGAAGAAGAACGATGATGAGGATTTAGAGAGATATCTCACATGAAATCCTCACATTACCCGATAAAAGCTCAACCTACCTCAATTAAATTGTTTAAAAAAGGTAATATTAAATTCGTGAACCATCGTATATGTGCAAATATTTTGTGTATTTATTTTACTTTTGCTAATAAAGTTTTATATTGGTGTATATGCAATTATTTTACTTTATGTTCGTGGGTAGTGCAATTTTCTCAATATACTATTGGTGAAATAAGTATTGGTGCCTCCGTCATCCAATAACTCTATTAATAAAATTGTCTTGACCTAATCGTAAAAATCTCGAATACTTTGACATTTCCACTAATTGTAAATCACTTCCAAATATATCGCATCTATTAGAAGATCTTTTATTTATTTATTTATTTATTTTTGCTTAGACAAGTCTCATGCATAGTTTTTCATGAGAGCGATTTTTCACTTAAGGGCCATTTGAGATTCAAGTCTCATGCACAATTTTCAATGAGAGCAAAAACGAGGATCTGCTTTTCAACTCTAATTCATTTTTTCACTTAAGAGCCATTTAAAATTCAAGTCTCATGCACATTTTTCAATGAGAACGAAAACGAGGATCTGCTTTTCAACTCTAATTCTCCCGCTACGGTCGTTGCTTACTTCAACAGCCAGCTTCAGCTACTCGAATTTTCAAGAAAATGTAATTAAGGTTCTAGATAAGACATATAGTAACTAGTAAGTTAGTAACTAGTGTACCCCTTTTGCAAAAACAAAATGAAACTCCAGTTTTGAGAGCTTCCAATGGAATTGCTTGGTAATGGTGTGGAATGAGAGGTTTGAAACTGTAGCAATTTGTTATTCTATGACCTGAGAAATGAAATCTAAAACACAGCTGTTTTTTATGGACCATATCATATTCATGTGTGACATATTATATGAATTCTTTTGAGAAGTGAGATTTAGAATGAAAGAAAAAAAATATATATATATATATAAATCATAAAATGTAACTAATAAAGCATAAAAAGGAAGCTAAGATATAGTAATTAATAAAAATAAAAGAAAAATCCCTCTCTTCACAGTTTTTCCAGCAACATCAGAAATCCAAAAGCTTCTCTAGAATATTTCATTTTTCCAGCAACATCATCAAGTATATCCATCAGCAACATCATTTTTTGGAGCTAATTAATTGGTCATGATCATTCAAAATCATAAAAATTACATGCTGCATCCATTCCTTGGCCTTACTTTTCAACTTTTATCATCATTTTACTCATCTCTCCTGGCTGTTTTTAAAGATGAAACTATCATAAGAACACAAAAATATAAGCATGTGGTTTAAATTTATGAAGTTTTATAAACCATAAACTCTCACAAATTGAACGATGAGAATCTGAATGATGGCACACTGGCAAAGCATTCATCATATCATTCATGATACAAAAAGCATTGTTCAAACATAGTACACCAGAAGAGAATGTGTAAATAATAAATAAAATCTTCATCCTCAGGAATACAACCATCAATGCTTGAATATCGAGGGTTCGATTAGTTCTATTGTATCTGAGTAATAGCAGGTAACTCCATTTTTCCATACAGCAACAATCTTCCCACAATTCTAAGTGTGAAGTTGCAACAGCAAGAAAACCTAGTTTCCTTACATGCGAGACAAAAATGAAACAATAGCCAATCATAGGATGCCTCTTCCTTCCTGAAAAGAAGCAAGAAATTCTCTTCAAAATCTGTGTTTTAGCCAAACTAAGCACCACATTCAGACAAGTAAAGCTCCTTTCCTCCGGGTTCGAATTTTTAATAAATTTCAACTGCTAATCCGTTCCTCTCGACACGTATTTACATCCAAGATCAAACTCCATTGAGCCACTCATTTTCTTCACATCCCCGGCAAATTCCCCTTCACTGTCAGTACCATGATCTTAAGATTCATCCGCTGATGTGGCATCCGACTCCCATTCAACTGTCTCAGATTCACCGAACAACTCCTCATCACTCCTCCTGTTTGACTTCTCTCTCCTGTAGTTACTCCCCGCACGTACTCGTAAATTCTTATAGTTCCCCTTATTATTACTCCGAAAAGTATTCTTTTTATTGTCATCATCAGAATCCCATTCATTATCATCCATCTCCGAAAAATCCACATCAGCATCTCCAACTTCATCTTCATCTTCATCCTCCCAATTCCTTTTCCTTCCAATACTCTCATCATCAGAGCCCTCGAACCTATTCATTTCCGGTCTAACGAATCTAAGCCCAAAATCCTCTCTGTTCCAATACCTAATCCGGTGAAGGTCCTCCTTCTCAGCCTCCTCCTCCATGACCCACTCTTTATCGGCTGCATCTTCAATCTCTGCAATGAAACGGTCAAGCTCCTCTTGATCACTGTCCTCATCAACTTCTCCGGCTTCTTGATCCCGTTGAGAGCTTTCCTCGGGCTTGGGGGGCTTTGTTGTTTTTGTTCGATCCTCACGAAAAACGTAAGGACTGCCTTCTCTTTTGTCGATGGCGTTGAAGAATGTGGAGGCCACTCGCTGGATACTGGCCATGGCAACTGGGTCATCCGGGTTTACCCCTTTCCGGCGAAGCTCCTGCTCGGTTTTCTTTATGTTGAGCTTTTGGGAATCGAGGGCCTGTTCGAATCGGGCTTTGAAGAGTGCCTGCGTATTAAAAAATAAATTATATTTCTTTCTTGTTTGGCTATTCGGGCGTCTATTTAACAGAATTTGTAGAAAAAATATGTTTAAGAGGCCACTACAATAATATTTCTAACAATATAAATGGGATATCTGAAATGTTTTTTGTTTATGAAGTGGGTAGAGTTTGACAGAAAATCAAACTCAGAGGTTCTTTCATAATTTCAAAAATCTCTAGGGTGGGTCTTATGTACATTAAAGAACAAAAGTTATCGAAAAATGGAATGAATGAGATTATAAAAGAACCTTTCTTTTCGTTAAGGTATTGATAGGAATCAAATTCTTCGGCTGACGATAATTCCGGCCACGAAACATGATGATAGTCTTCCCGTTATGGATATTGACCACAATGCCCCCGCTCAATCTCGTCAGCATAGACGCCATCTCCTTAATCTTTTCCTTCGGAAAATTGTCACAGCACACTTGCACAGTCTCGTGGAACTTCCAGTGGAGGTGCATATTCTGAACTACCCCTCCAAAGACCCCACGAACACCAACTGGCACATAGTTTTTGTTCTTGAATCCGATCTTTTTGTACGCCTGCAACTGCTCGGGAGTGAAAAGCTCCGGGTCATGGCGAGGTGATGGAAGCTCGGGCAGTTCATACTTTTTCAGCTTTTGAAGAAGTAAAGCCACTTTTTTCTTTGCCTGTTATAGACAAACACATGAAAGCAAAAGTATGAAACGCAGTGGCGAAAATAAACGAACATCACTCAGAAGCGAAACATGCTAAAACAAAAGAAAGAAAACCAGCTACTGAACAAATGACTGAGCTGCAACATTTAACTAATCCAAATCCAACCAATGGTTAACTAAAGATATCCAAAGGATTACTGCATAAAAATTACACAAACAATTTAGAAACAATGTAAATATGCAGATTATTAGGGTTCATACCCTTCTAAGATTGTAGATGAGGCGTTCCTCATCAGTCATCAATTTCTTCCTCAGCTTTTTCGCCCTTCGAATTTCCCTGAGGGTTTTGCCCGATTCCCTTTGCATTCTTTTCTCCACTTTGCTCCTCATACTCTTGGCCGAAAAACAACGAGCTCCATTGAACGAACTCCACATCTTGCCAGAACATACATCAGAACTTCGCAAATTCACATTGTGTGCAGAGGTACTGCCTCTAGCTAGCACCTCCCTCCTTAAAAATAAAATAAAATAAAATAAAAATCCAAAGCCTACATATATCGACTGTTTTTCTCACAAAATCACAAAAGGAAAAGGGAAAAAAGGAAGTACCTTTGGTTTAGGAGCACGTGGGAGAGGGTTCTGATGGATCGCCATGGAAATTTTCGAGCGTAAGCAGACAACATTTTTATCAGAAACTCCGAATTAGGAGAGGCCGCTGAGCGGAGGTGTTTGACTGGTAATAGAGATGAAGCAGAGGTTTTTTCTTGAGTTCCAGTGAGCGTGAAGGGGGTTTGTCACTGGTCCAGCATGTTAGGTTTATCACACTTTCACCCATATGGTTTCTCTTAATTACTAAAAGGGCCTCATCTAGTTCAAATTGACAATTTTGTAGAAAAGCTCTGTTAAGCAAATTACCGGCCGGGATAGTCCTATCTTGACCTACAAAAATCTATGGAGGTTTTCTTATGGAATAATCCACCACTTAATGTATTGACACATGTCCAAATTGTATTTATTGTATGACACGTATCAAGGGACGGATCAAGAAATTAAGAATAGACTGGGCTAGAATTTTAAATACACATCTATATATATATAATTGCTAGCATATAGCATTTAATTTTACCTATTTAATAAAACCTCTAACATTTTCCCTCCATTTTCGGTTACAAAAATTATCATTAATATTTTTTATTTCTCACATTAATACATCATAATGAGTATAATCATTTATTTTTATATTATATTATATAATAATTATTGCTAATACCAACTAATAATAATTCACAATAAATATAAATTACATAATTAAGAACAATTGTTTTAAGTTATTTATTTTAACATCAATATTATCTTTTTTCTTTTGTATCTCATGACAAAAATTTCTTTACAAACAATTAGTAAATTATTTTAATAGCATAGTCAAACAACTTTAGAATCTTATAAACAATTGTTTTAATAATAATAATAATAATAATAATAATAATAATAATAATAATAATAATAATAATTAAACAATTATTATCGAATGGTAATATACAATTGTTAATAATAATAAAATCGTTATTTTTTTCTAATGATCAAATTTTTGAAAATGTAATATGTTCATTATCTAAAATTTTAATATTAAATTCTCAAATATTACTTATAATATTATATGTACATTTGTGCATGATTGGCACATATATTTTTTTCTGAAAATCAGAAACACTAATAATTTTTTTTATTTATGTTAATTTTCTTAATATATGCTACAAATATATAAATTATTTTATTCATGTTACTAATATAAACGTTGCATGGTTAAAATACAATTTAAATCTCAATTGATTTTGAATGATAAAAATAACTTAACAAAAAATAATAATTTTTATATGATAGAAGCACATGTCTAATTATAATAAATACAAACAAAAACATAAATTTTGACTCTAAATATAAAATCTTTAGTTGGTGGAACATAAATTTCAGTTTCAAAAAGCATATCAAATGCGCCACTATTATACAATTCATATTTTTCCAGTTATCAAAATATTTTCAACTAATCATGCTCTTGATTTGTTGGTATTTACACTAATTAGTTAATAGACTTCTGTAGGTGCTTATAAATAAAATAAAA